AGGCGGAGGCCGAACGGTGCTCCGTACAGCAAATTTATAACCGGAAGATTACTCATATACTCTCTCTCTCTATATATATATATATATATATAGTAGTCTTCATGTCAGGCCGGCCTGACGGGATGCTCCATCCGGCCGAGGGCATTTCGGGCACTTCCCGGTGAAATTTTTTGATGAAATTTGTTGAGCATGTTCTTCATGAGGTCTAGTTTATCCATACCAAATTTCAGCTAAAAATTCAATCCGGAAGGCACTCAAATAATTTCTTGAAGTTAACTGGGCAATTTATACATATATAATTTCAGGTCCGAACATTCCCCGTCCGAGAACCGTCCGAACATGGACGTTTGGGCCACTTCCCGGTGTACTTTTTTTATGAAATTTTTTGAGCATGTTCCTCATCAAGTCTAGTTTGTCCATACCAAATTTCAGCTCAAAATTCGATCAGGAAGACATTCAAATCATTTTTTGAAGTTAACTGCGTCAAAATATACATATAAAAACGCAGTCGACTTCAAAAACTGATTTGAATGCCTTCCCGATTGAATTTTGAGCTGAAATTTGGTATGGACAAATTAGACTTGATGAGGAACATGCTCAAAAAATGTCATCAAAAAATTCCACCGGGAAGAACCCCAAACAAGGATGTTCGGACGGAGGGTCCTATCCGAACGTTCGGACCTGATCATTCTTATATATATATATATAGTAGTGTTCCTGTCAGGACCTCCAAAAACGGACCTCCGTACGGACCTCGGCGTTTGGGCCCCTTCCTGGTGGAATTTTTTGATATAATTTTTTGAGCATGTTCTTCATCAAGTCTAGTTTACCCATACCAAATTTCAGCTAAAATTCCATCGGGAAGGCAGTCAAATGATTTTTTGAAGTTAACTGGGCACTTTATATACATATAAAATGCAGAGCCAATTGACACCACTCAATTTTTGAAGTCAATTGACACCACTCAATTTTTTTGTAATTATATATAGAGGTTAATTGTTTAAAAAAAATTGACACCACATATATAAATGGAATGATTATCAATTGACACCACTCAAATATTTTTTGTAGTTATGTATAATGGTATATTTTCTAAGAAATCAATTTGACCCCACCTATATTAATGAAATGAGGGTTAAAATATAAATATATATGAAATAATTGCATATTTATAACTAAAATAAAAGTTATTTACAAAACCAGATGTCTTAAGTGTATGGCTACATTAGAAATTTTGTTATATTAACTTATTTCAATTTTTACACTTGAGTACATGACATCATACTATAGTAATTTTTAATGATATTTTGTCAATAATTTTATTTCAATACAACAAAGCTTGAATACAAAACTTGACAACAAAAAAAACTATGATTAAGGCTTCAAATGAATGAATTGACATATTATTATTGTTGACTCTAAATTTATACGGAGTATAAGATAATGTGTAATATAAAGTCTAGATGGCCTGGTCATTCTTTCACACATGTAATATTTGATAAATTTATTATCATAGTGTTACTTTATTATTTAGCTATATTAAAAACTCTTATCAATATATAAAGTGCCTCAAAGTACAACGATGAGAAAAATGTACAATATTTTAAAGGGAACATAATGTTAGATAATACCGAAACTATCACCATTTCAGAATAGTGAAACAAATTATAGAAATAATTAATTCATTCCCAACTATTCAAATATATGTATATATATATATATATATATATATATATATATATATATATATATATATATATATATATATATATATATATATATATATATATAGGGTAATGCTAAGGTGAGGTAGGCCTAAGAATTATAATTCTTAGGCCTCTTTCATTTGAGGTGCTTCTGGGTCGAATTTTTTGATGAAATTTTGTGAGCATGTTCTCCATGGATTGAAGATTATGTCCACCAAGTTTCAGAATAAAATTCAACCGGGAAGTCATTTAAATAAATTATTGAAAAAAAACTGCATTTTATATATGTAAAAACCTGCACAATTTTGAAAAAATTATTTAACCGACTTCCCGATTGAATTTTATTCTGAAATTTGGTGGGCATAGTCAACACTTCATGGAGAACATGGTCACAAAATTTCATCAAAAAATATATCCCGGAAGCACCTCAAATGAAAGAGGCCTAAAAATTTCAATTCTTAGGCCTACCTTACTTGAACATTTTCCTATATATATATACATATATATATATATATAGGGGTCAGTTCAAGTAAAAAGTAGTCTTCCCATGAAAAGTGAGAATAAATCTTGACCTTTAATCACTTGAAAATAGATGGATGAGATAAACTTTAATCACAATAGCCCGTTTCAATAAATGTGCAAATGTTTGTACTATAAAGTGGATAGTTTACTGATTAAAAGTGCACTCATGCGTGTAAAAAAAGATTGTCAAAGTTTGCCAATTTCTGCACTTTTTATTTTATACTGTATTGCACTTTTTTACCCTACGTGTGCACTTTTTAACTATTCTAATACACATTTGTCACAAAATTTTCAATAAAAGTTCTCCGTAATTACAAAAATGTCACCGCGTTTCAACCTTAAAATTTGATCTCTTCCATCCATTTTTTCACATCAATGGCCAAGATTAGTTCTTATTTTTCACCTATGAAGTACTTTTTATTTGAACCAACTTCTATATATATATATATATATATATATATATATATACAAAGTCAAATACATATATAAGAGATCAAATACAAACCTCTCATAATTTACAAACTATAAACTAATCTTGACCATCCGATTAGTTTATGCACGCTGGTATTTTGGTATTAAAACCAAAATTTTGGCTCAAATGATTGAAACAATGTATAATCATCAATAAAGATTTTAAAATTGGGTCATAGAAGTAGAATTTAGTTTAAAAAATTGACACCACTCAAATGAATCGTTGGCTCCGCCACTGTGTCTAGCCATATAATTATACATAAATATTTGACTTGAAATTTTATTCAACTTTGTGACCCAAAAAATCTTTCATGGCAATAAAATTTCCATGTGTAGAGTCACTCTATAGTGATCATATGGACGAAATTAAGGTGAAGTAGATTTTACGCATAAAATTCTGGGCGCCACCTGTGATTCTTTGACCGCAAATTTGAATAAAATCATAACTTGAAACATTTATGTATAGTTTAAGTGCTATTTTGATTCATTTAATAGTTAAGGTACCAAATCGCAACAAATACCAATAGTTAAGTTACCATTTATACATTTGCCCCTTGTTTCAATGTGAACTAAAGGAAATGAGGGGAAATAATAAGTTCTCTATAGATTTTGTATGTACATTACGCAATTTTTTTATATAGTCGCCTCTAATTTTATCAATAAGTTCATACAAAACTTATACGTTCAGTCTCACTAAACTATCCCACCTTATTACTCACATAGATTTAACCATTTTTCAATATAAAAAAATGGCACCCTATCCCTGAGGCCGCTATGCATTTTAGCATAGTAAATTCCCATCGCGGTTGCAGGAATTCGAAATAGAGAAAATCAGTGTTAATAGTGATATACTAAAATCAGTGTAAAGTACGGTATCGATAAATTATCATGATGTAATATAACAAATTATTATATGTCAAATGAAATAGAGAAAATAAGTGTTAATAGTGATATACTAAAATCATTAATGAAATTAATTATAAATACCAATGAAATAACCTATTTGTGTTCTATTCAACTTTGAACAAAAAATATTATAAATATGTATAGATATTTCAACACATGATATATGAAGCTAACAACACATTCTGCCAAAATAATTTAAACTACATAAGTATAATTAAAATAACACCAATCTCCAACAAAAAGTATAAATAATTCAAGAAACATGAATATAAAGTCATATATCCTTGAATTAATGTTGTGTTTCTAGTTATTTTTATAATTTTAAGGAAATTATTGACTTGGAATTACGGTATGACGGTATACCGGTATACCGTTTATTTCCAAAATATATACTGATACCATATCGAAGTAATTCGGTACGGTATCATACCATACCAAAAATGTAGGCATACCAAACATTTCGGTAAATTCAGTATTTTCTAGGGCTGGGACTTTGGAACCAAGAACCGGAGATCCGAACCGGACCGAACCATTATGACCCGGTTCGGTTCGGTTCCAACATTTATTAGTAATTTGTTAACGGTTCGGTTCCTATATTTTATTAACGATTCGGTTCTCGGTTCTTGAAAGAAATATGTATCGGGAACCGTTAAGGAACCGTTATATATAATAATTAAAATTATATATATTTGTTATGAGTATAAATATTTTAATGTATATTTACTTATTTATTTTTATATTACATTCAATATTTTAATTTAGTTATTTAACTATTTAAAACTATTATTCACTTCAACCGGTTCTCTTAGACTTCTTAGATCTCTCATTAGGTCCAAACTCCAGCGGGTCGGAACTCGGAAGGTCCAAACTATTTAAAATTATTATTCTCTTTAACCAGTTCAGCATATTTGTATTGTAATTTCAAAAGTTGAACGTCTTTTAGACAAAAATTTAGTCGTGATTTGTAAGAATTTTTTCAAAGACTAGGAACCGTTAAATGACAAGAACCGGACCGTTAAGAACGGTTCGGTTCCTTATCGATTCTATAAAATAATTTATAAGAACCGACCCGTTAGCAAAATTTTATATTGTCAAACGGTTCCACATATTTTGTCTAGGAACCGAACCGATCTCAGGCCTAGTACTATTTTCCGATATGGTAAGTTCGGTATACCAAAATTTCGGTATTTTTTCCCACCCCTAGCCACAGCATGACCGTGTTGAGATCATCGCCAATGATTTGGGCATCCGTACGACGCCGTCATGGGTTGTATCAAGAATAACTGTTGGGCTGATTGTTGATTCCTTACTTGCTTATTAATTATTGGGCCATATGTTGTTGGGCCTTATTATATAATCCTATCATAATAATATAAATATATAATATGTACTGTAGTTTAGACATAGTTCTCATTCATTCTCTTCTACATTGTTCAGACCTAAAGATACAGATCTCTTCTTCAAGTTCTCTTCTCCAAGAAACCTTGATTCAGTTTTACCACTGTAATAGGTTGCCTTCACCGACGTTGAACGCCTTATCGGCGAACCTGACCAGAACCAGGCCGCCATGAATCCTTCCAATACAATCTCCGGTTCGTTTTCTTCCTCTACAGATTTTGACCCGTGTTTTCTTTTTGGCCTTTATGTTAAAACTATTCTCACAGTGGACCTCTATATGTGCTACTTATATTGTTCACCCCACCTTTTAAATATACACCAAAGTGATACCAGCCAGTTAGGAACAACAATCTACATCTTAAATCTTCATGGCCTTGTTTGGCAAATGACTGTTAGCTGTTACTGTTAGCTGGTTGTGTAGGTAGTTTTCTAATAGCTGGTTGTGTTAGCTGTTTTGACCGGCTGGTTATATTAGCTGATTATAAATAACTGTTTGGTAAAATTGGTTGTTTCGAAATGGTTTATAGAGTGTAAATTGAACCAGCCGAAAATGAAGAAGCTGCCCTAGCTTCTTCAACCATCCATTTTTTCAGCTTTTCAAACTCAACAAGCTAATTTTAATATCCATTTACCAAACATTATTATTAGCTTCTTTGACTAATCAAACAGGTAAAATGGATCAAACAAGCTAAAAGCTGGTTGATAAGCCATTTGCCAAACATACCCATTGACTATCAATAAGTATCAATCTAAACGGATTTAAAATTAATCTTGTGGCAGGATACACCAATGACCTTGATGTTTCTGATTTTCGTACTCACGAAGCATTTGCTGGACTGGATAACATAAATCCCGCTCTATATGGCACTCCGGAAAAAGATTGGATAGATACTGACATCCATTTAATCAAGATGTGGCATAATGCCCATATGGGAGATGCAGATATCCTCGCTATCGGAAATACATGGCATGCACAACTGAATGCAGAGAACAGTATCTCTTCTCGAACTGCGATTAGAGGGCTCAAATTGGCTATGTCTCTAAAATCAATGTATCCAAATAAAACTGCACCATTATTATTTTTACCTGGCAGAGGACAAGAACCTCATGAAGGAGCTCCGGCTGCAGTATCTCTGCCTGATGTGGAAACTTTTGATGACACGCCGTTCGCAATACAAACTAGACAAGTTGTTCGAGGTCCGGATGTTCCATTATTGCCAAATGCTGTCGTAGCAACCGCAAATCTAGGCATACCAGCTAGAGAGGATATTGATCGAGTAAAAATATGGTCATATACATTCCTAGCTTCTTATTTGATGAAACTGATGGTCAAATCTCCAGAGAATGTGGTGAGAGGATTGGAAAATATGAAGGCTAGGTATGCTTCATTTTATGGACCATCTAGGACTATAGCTAGATTCTCATTTCCTATTAGGAAAGCATGTGCCTACAAAAAGGCTCTCCTCAGTCAATCTAACATACTTACTACCTATACCATGGCATTAGCTCACACTCAATCCTATGTAGCTGCGGAAATGAATGTTAAGGAGAAAGGATTGTTGAGTTATCTTGGATATATTCCATTTTCTTACACTGGTCTCCATGCATACAGCCTGATCATCAATTTGAAGAATATTTCAAACGTAGGGTTAGGAGAGTTGCTTTCGATGCTGCACTGTAACATTATGCGTCCTGCTCTGATGAAAGTGCACAAGATAGTCACTGAGCTTGAGAGAACAGTAGACCATCCAGACAGACCAACCTATTTTAGGTACTGTGCTACATGGGGAGATCATTATTTTTTAAGTCTGAGATCTTCTCGATGCCCTCACTTGTGCTACACAGTAGCATGTGCATGGAAGACCATAGCTCCAGCTGCCAGAAATGAGAACTGTGATCCTGAAAAGATCATGGCAACTACACGTCTAGCTGAGCCAATGAAGAGAACATTGAAGCGAGCAGGAGAATTGTTGGCAGAATCTCTAAGAAAGAACATTTCTTAGAGAATGCAATAACCAATCAACAAGTTCCGGAGGCGATGGAGAATGCAAATGCAGATGTCAATCCTTGGGATCAGTTTCTGTAGAAGCACTTATTCTATTAGATTTAAGAAAAACAAAACAAAACAAAAAAAAAAAAGTTCAAGCCTAATCACTGATGTTATCATAAACACTAATGGACGCCCTCGAGTAGGAAAATTAAGTAGGAAAACTTTTTTTAAGATGCAATTAGGATATAAACATTTCAATAGTGCTTCGTAAAATAAACATGTGGTATTTGAGGTTGTACGGTTATTTAGCATTTTATACATTGACTCTTTCCTGCTTGTGAAAGACAGATGTGAAAAGGCTGATAGGTAGAAAGTTTGGTGATGGAATAGTACAAAATGACATGAAACACTGGCCATTTAAAGTCATAGCTGGTCCTGACAGTTGCTGTGGAGGAGGACATGATTGTTTTAGCAGAGTGCAATTTTGTTCACCCTCTCCTTGGAGGGTGAACATCACCCTCATAGCTCAAATGTTGCCATTTGGCATTTCATTTCTTTTTTGCCACATGTCAAGCAAATAGGGAGGGGGGTTATGTTCACCGGTGAACAAAATTGCACTAGTTTTAGCAAAGGCAATTGATCATACAGTTAAGTGGTTTGGTTGGAATTAACTGCTTGGTGATGCTCGCATATTTGAGGAAAAGATGAAAGAGCTGGAGGACAAATGTGAGCCTGTCATTATGAAGCTGCAGAGTCCGCAGCCAAGTCACACTAATGTCAAGCCTAATTTGAATTTGGTAGCGAGAGTTTGGAAACTGCTAACCTTTAGTATGCTAATGCTTTAGTAGGCTGTTGAATTATGAAACCTGGTTTGTTTTGCTTTTTTTTTCTTTGCTCTGGTGCACTCCACAAGCTTTGACTGTTTTTTCTGCGTTCGAGTAATACATGCACTGTGTTCTTAGTTTTTTTTGTGACAACCCTGGTATCCATTTAGAAAATGAGGTACGGTACCTACCATTTATATGATTGGTCCAACTCATTATATCATTTTTCATTTAGATTTAAATATTTCAACTGCTTCATTTTTATTAGTTCATGTAGACAAATGTATGATATCTTAAGAGTACTATAGAATCTACCTTTTTTTTAAATCTTTTAAAGGAGTGTTTGGGGTTTATTAAAAAAAGCGCTTTTCAGCTTTTGATTTAAAAAAAGTTGAAAAGAGTGTTTTCAAATGATAGCTTCTGCTTAAATTAATCACTTAAAAGCTAAAAGCTGGAGGCAGGTATAGAAGAGTGCTTTAAACTGCTTCTCACTTTTTCTATTACACAAAAAGTATTTATTTTACTAAACACTACCAACTTTTACTTTTTCAGAATCACTTTTTTCTTAAACACTACCAACTTTTACTATTAATCATTTTTCCCAAAATCACTTTAAAAAATCACTTTTTTAAAGTTGAAGCAATCTCAAACACTCCTTAAAGTAGTCTAGTTCCTCTGTCCACCACTAGATGACCTGTCACAAGTTATTTATGAAGTAGATCTCTCTATATACACTTGTTCAAAATCTAAATATCCTTTTAAAGAATACCTGTAATTACACTAAAGAAATAAAAGGCATCTAAAAGAACACCTCTATAGTGACACCTTTATTTAAGACTACACCTTAATAAGGTATAGCCGTACAAGTTCCTTATAATGATCTGCTTTTCATTTAAGACTAATAACTTATAAGCGTTTGTTTTCCTCCCCAAAAGATCATATGGGCTATGGGTGATTTTGAATAAGAAGTAACTGTTCATTTCACATCAAATGAACTAAGGGCATGTTTGGCATTTGGTGGTTAGCAAATATTGGATTATTTTAACGGGTTGTCAATATCAGATTCAGTCAGCGAGTTTGACTAGCGGAATAATGTTACGGATGCATTTTTAGAGTTTTAGTTAATTAGGAGTCCAGTTTGATGTTAATTAGGAGTCCAGTTTGATGCTATCTTTATATTTAATTTAGGGTTTCTTTTAATTAGAAGAGGAGTCCAGTTTGATGTTATCTTTATATTTAATTTAAAGTTTTAGTTAGACTAGGACTTAATCATGTAAAGGCAGAATGCCTATTTATAATTCTTTGGAGGAATAATAATCATCGATCATTAGAAATTATTCCCAAAGAAGTCACGGACTATCTCTCTCTCCCCTTCCCTGTGCTCTTCCAGCCATGGGCAAGAAGAAGAGTAACCCTAGCCGGCAGGTTACGACCTCAACCGGGTATCCTGCTACCCCAAATCGTCCCTGGACCCGTTCTCAATCCCAAAACTCTAACAAATAAGTTGGCGGGTTGTCAGAAGATGTTTGGTAATTTAACTGTTTGGCCATAAAATTAATAGCAAACGCCATATTTCAAAACGCTAGCTCAAAACTCTCCTATTTGTAGGGTTTTCATTTCAACGTTTCATCCAAAAAAGCAAGTGTCAAATAACTATTTACCAAACAACTTTTTCGGCTGAAACGCCATTTACCAAACAGCCCCTAAGTCGTCAAGGAGAGTGCAGTATAGTGCAGTTGTGTTTTATTTAGCAAAATAAATATTTTGAAGATAATACTCTGTATAGTTAATTAAATAAGTTGATTTGGAGCATATTTATTATGTGTAGATCGTTTTACTCAATTACATGCTTCTAATACTCAATTGTGTTATCAATACATTGATTTAATATCAATACTCGATTCTTTTAAACGTTATACTCATTAAATAAAACATAAAATACTCGATTGTACAGTGAGCAGTATACACACGGATGTATAGTGTACGCTCTCTCTATATTTTAGGATATTAACCGGGTGTATAACGTACACTCTCCCTAGTCTTTAGTATACAACGAGTATGTTTTAGGAAAAATGGACAAGAATAATTTCAATTATGAGTAGGAACGAACGAATGGAGAAGTAAAAAACCTAGCCCCGCCGCAGGGTGGATCTAGGTGATGATGATTCTCTTCAATTCGTCCGTGCAGTCTACAAGATTGGCAAGAGTTTGATGATTGTAATGTTCTACAAACAATAACGAATTACAGGTTTAGATTTTGCTATGATATTTCTCTTTTTTTTTATTTCTATCTTCTAGGGTTGTGGTTTTGGTCCGGCATCTTCTTTGGCCGAGAGTTATATCCGCTTCATGTGAGCGTGTGTTTTGATCTTCTCCTAGCAATGTCTAAAGATTGTGTCTTCCTCGTCGGTGTAACCGATCGAGTGATTCATTATTCATGGTTGGCAAGACAGATTCAACCTAGTCCTTCTGAAGCTCCGATTATTCGCCCTCCTCCAGAACCACCGCCTCACTCGAAGAAAAAGATAGTACTCAACTGGATCTCCTTTTTGGTGGCTGGTCAAACTGATGATCCAGATAATTTCTGCTCAATTGAGTTTCCTCTGTTGGTTGTTGGTCAAACCAATTCTCCCTTTCCGGTGGCTGGTGAAGCCGGATCTTTGAGTTGTAATTTTTTATTTTCCCTTTGGAGTAGCAAGAAGAGCAGCAAAGCTGTTAGACTAGACTACATTATTGCGAGATTAGTGATCTGGAAGGATTCATTGGATTTTTTCCGTTCTATGTCTCATCCCATTGCAGCCTTAGGCTATTCATTCTCTTGTATCTCTTCTATCTTTTAATAATAATTTAGTTATTTGATTTTAAAAAAAAAATCAATTATGAGTGATGTGCTTGAAATAATCCAAAGCATCAATTATCTCAAAACAATCTCAATTATTGAAAAAAATCTCAAAATAATCATTTCCGTATTAATGATAACTATTTATGGAGTATTTTGAGATTTTTTTCAATAGTTGAGATTACTTGGAGGTAATTGGTAGTTCGGATTATTTTAAAGTATTAACATTGGTTAACTACATGAGACAGTAAGGCAGTCATCAAAAGCATCAAACTAGTAAGGCAGTAATCAAACGCCAATCATAACAATAGTATCCAACACTTGGGCTTCCAATTTGTGAAGGGAAAGGATGGCCTTTAAATATTGAAGGCTGCTCGTTTCTATTGAGACAGAAAAACACTCCAAATCCCCTTTAAAAATTGAAGGCTGCCCTTTTCTAGTACCTTGGTGTTCCGATCGAAAGGGATCGGAGGCATAAGGTAAAGATGGATGAAGGGCAATGAAATTCTGAGGCAACATCCACATAATCAATTTGAAAATGATAATATTATTTAACTAAGATGATTTTCAATATGCAAATTTAATGTAATATGATTTTTGGAATATTATCTATTGAAAATTGATTTTCGAATAATGTCATTTTTTACCTTTATAAGGTTACTCCTTTGAATCTGAAAATGTCAATTTGACAAATGAATATCATTTTTATGGCATTAACGTTACGAAATGGCACTACTAATCCTTTGAGAAAGATTAGTCTCATACGTAGTATTTTTCAATCTAAAGTGTAATTGTACTTTTGGTTACATTGACAATGATGTCATCAAGATGGCACTCCAACTCTAAGATGAAACTACTGTGATAGTCATACCGGATCACATATATGCAATGACTTGCTCAATGGAGGAGGAGGCAGTGCCAGAGGCCGCACCATTGAGACACGGTGGTGCAAGATGTGGCGGTGATGAGGCCGAATATTGAGTGGCCAACAACAACGCTGAATGAAGCAGCTAGTGGCGCGGACTCCGGTGGTGGCGCTGGAGATGATTGTGGTCTTGCACAAGTGTACTTCTCCATGGTGTGGTTGTGCATTTCAAAGAGAATAATATAAAAGAGTACAATTTCATATAAGTTTATCAGTGGCACTGGAGATGATTGTGGTCTTGTACAAGTGTACATTCAACAAATCAGATCCAGTGAAAACCCGGTTGATCTCTTCACCACATCGTTGCCCTCAAACAAATTCATAGAACTTGTACAGAAAATCGGCACGTGTCGCCTTCAAAAATTGTGCTAAGTTTAGGGGTATTGGACTTTTCTGATAAGGTTTTTAACGAGACAGTAAATCCAAATACAACGACATTATATGTCGTAATCCTTACCCCTTAATTTTAATTTTCACACTCATTTTTCACAATAAGTTTTTAACATATATAACAAATACCTATTCAAGGATAAACATTCGAGTGGGAGTGTCGTAAAATCATCAAATTGACAAGTGTGAATGTTCATCCTTGTAATCAGGACACTAATTTAATTCCAATTCTTGTAATAAACAGATGACTAGGTTTAATGTTGCCAACAAATTATGTAGAATCATTCATTGATGATTTATCTCCTAGCCAACGGGTATAAATAAAGTGACCAATCCTTTGTAAATTTAATTGAGAAAATTTCATAGTAATAAGAAGCAATTTAGGGCTTATTATTAATATATCTATCTCACAAATCCAGTCCCTATCTTTTTCATTCTACAACAATTTTATATTTTTATTCATGAATGTTAAAATATTTTTTTATGAATGTGTATTTATATAAGTAATCGTTATATTTTGCAAATATACTTCGTACTTCGTAGTATCTTATACTTACAAGTTACAAACTTTCTTTGTAGCCTTGTTTATAATTTTATATCCGCTATGAATCATGAATGTATCTACTTGTTTTTATCAATGTGATCCTTACGGTACTATTTAAATTTTGGGAAAGTTTCCGAAATAGGACTAAAACGGTTTAAAAATTTTTAAATAGGACTGTCATGTTTTTTATTCTTAAAATAGGAGTAATTACTGCCAAGTTTGAAAAATACCGTCATGTTTGAAATTTAATACAGCCAAAACATGACAGTAATTAGTCCTATTTTGATAATAAAAATATGATAGTCTTATTTAGAAATATGACAGTCTTATTTAAATTTTGGATGAGAGATATATACATTTTACAACTTTACTGAGATCATGTAAGCTACGCTTGGCGCCAAAACATACGCGGAGTTAAACGTTGCTTTCTAGTTCGAAATGCTAACTAATCATCGCAAACAATAGTTTGATCGCAACAATTTCTGTTTCATCTTGCTCACTCCCTCTCTTCATCGCAACTCGCACCATCTTCAACCGTTTCTCAAATGTCGGCTGCAAAAACGAGCACGAAGAAGCGAGCCTCGGAATCTGGGCAGCAGAAACCGGAGGTCCGGAAGCGAGTCAATCTCGAGGAGGACTTCGATGCAGATCTCTCCGAGTTCGGATTTTGCTTCGGCTCTTCTTTTCCCGACAATTATGCTTTAGATTTTGCCGGATTCTGACAAATTTTGTCTGGAATTGCAGAGATATCAATGTGCTGATGACGGCATTGAAGCAGATAAAAGAGAAAGCTCATAAGGATGACCTGAAGAAGAACGAAGAGACGATTTCAAGGTGAATGTGTAGGAGTTGCATTATCTAGTAAATGAGCTTCAAACATATGATACAATATCCTGATGTTTATGGATTTAGCCAATATACTGATCCAAAACTTAATAAATGATTGGTTTTAAATTGCTCGTCCATGCGAAATTGTTATGTACATGACGACAATTTTGAACACTAATTGTCATAGGCCCTACATCGAAGTACATTAAGATGTGCAAATTGTATAGATGGCTGTGAGTAAGCTATTTTCATGTGAGGGCATCACTGGCCGTGTTCCCAAAAGTCAAAATAAGTCTTCCAATTCATGTATGATAAGTTTACTTGTTTGGTTGACTGTTTTAGTAAACCTTACATGCTACAGACTGTTCTGTTAATATCTGCCTGGTCTTGAGAAACAGATTCTCCTCTGATCTATCTTTTGTATTTAAGAGCACAATGACTTGAATTTGTCGGGGGGAGGTTCAATTTTTGAACTTTCTGTTATTTGTCTTCGATTTGAAAACTGAATGTGGACACAAGAGCATTAAAGATCCGAGTTTCTATATTATGGAGTTCATACATTCCAGCCCCTCTAAATTTCATAACTCTAGACTCTCACAATCAACTTGAACTTACTACCTAACATGCTTTTTAAGAGGTGTCTGTCACTAGTTCACTCTTGATTCTGTCTTATTATGAATTTCTTTGACAGTGGTTTTTCACAAATCAAGGCAAATATTGAAGATGTGAAGTCCAAACTGGAAAAAGAAAGGTGAGATGAAGTCAATCTGCATTCCGTGGCATGTTTCTAGATTAAGCTATCATTTCTGATATCCACTAGTGCCGCTTTATGTGTATGATTTTTTCAGGCAGAACTTTGCCAAGGCACTCTCCAAGAGCTCAAAAGAGGTCTGAATCACTAGGATAAATTGTATATGTTGGAGTGTTTATTTGTTGCGCTGCACCTTTATCTTACTGTTAACCGTATGTTCTTATTGACTGCATGAAGTGGGAGAATCTCTTGAAGAATGAAACTGCCAAGTTTGAAGGAATCTATGAGAAGTTCAGCAAGGACAAGGCTACCCATCTGCAGACTCTGAAAGGTGTCTTTACCTATTCTGTTTTTCTCAGATCCTGTTCTGATTTCGGAAATTACAAGGATAATTTTGTGAAAATTATTTTTCATGCAACATTGACTCATTGAAAATTTTGAATTGAAAATATGACAGAAGCACAGAAGCTTATGGTTCATATAAGTCAAAGTCATTAATTAAATAATACTCCGTAAAAGTACTGACTGTAACATTCAACAGACACTGTGTCCAAGTATGAGGAAGAAAAACTAAGGCTATTCACTCGATATGAACAACAAAGTGAGTAAAGACAAGGTTTGTTTTCTTCATTTAAGCTTGGGGAAGTAAGAGACTCACTCATTTTCCCGACTGAAATCAGGGAAGAAGGAAAAGAACGTATTGTCTGAACTTGAGAAAGACACTTCAAAAAGATTGGCTGAACTCGAAGAGTCATTGAAGAAGAAAAAGAAACAGGTGAACTATGCATTGACACCCTTCCTTCCCTGCCCTTCTCCTCCACAAACTCAAACTCTAATATATGGTTATGTTCATTTGCTCCTCAGGATGATAGAACATTTAGCACTCTGAGGAAGAAACTTGGTTCCTTCCTGGACAATGCATCAGATGAGGACTTCCTACTTGATGAGTAAAAAGGCTGAGCAGTCTTCCTGAGAATAACCTATTTGGATATTATATAATATATACATATATATTAGTTTTGCACAGTTTTGTGGATCTCTAGTTATTCTATTGACATTTATAATTATAGTTTTCTAGAATGCTTGTCATACTTAAAGCAAGCTTTGGACAAACTGGTTTCGTTCCCAGGGTGAGTGGTCATTTATTATGTTTCACGTTTGATTGGAGTTTTAGATACCAGAGACTAATGAAATATTTTACCTGTTAATCCGAATGTATTCGGTTGTTCAATCAACTGTAGAAATGCTTATGTAATTATGTCCTGATTAATTTGGGTATACATTCTATCCGAAAGACTATAAAGCTACGTTTGGATCTCAGAATAGGATAATGAATGGAAACTCCATGCGAAGATATTTAATTTTATTTGATCATGCATATATAAATTTAAAGTATGATTATGTTTTCTAAGTGGACAATTTTACCATCAAAAAAAAAAGTGGACAATTTTGGAAATTTTGGTAAGAGGGAAGTGCAAATGTGTCTCCAATGTTTGATTTCAGGTGCAACTCGGTCCTTCACATTTCTTTTAGCTATGAATATGTCCCTATGATTCACCCAATGGAGTCAAGGCGCACATTGGCATTTACTAGCCTTAGTAAAAGTTGTAAAATATATTTAAGTTTTTTTAATATACTAAGTACATCTTTAAGGTTATCAAGTGACAATGACTAATGTAGAAAATACTATTCCATTTGCCCCAAAATGTAAAATCAGTTAAAGATTATTAGGTATGACAATGAAAAAGTCATACAATAGTATTCCGTTTATCCAAAACGTATACATTTGGATTTAACACAGTTTTAAGATAGAGGACATGATTATTCCAGATAAAGTTGTTCTTTTACTATTGTAACTTTCAAAAAATAAGAAAAACGGTAAGTTCGTCCCTTTTTCGGGTATGCATCCCCTTGTAACAAATCAAATTCCAAAGTTTCTCATAAAACAAGAGACTAACTGTCTTCCTTAAGACAAATATTTACTGTTAGCCTTAATTACAAAAGCAAATGATAGTAATACATTGGGGATTATAAAAAAAATTGTGGCTCTTGATCCTCGCTATGGCAGCTCATGAATTGATCGATCAAGATACAAAATTGAAAGTGGAAGCTGACAATTTCTTTTAATAAAAGTCGAGTGATTGTAGGATTTTAAAGCAAATTTTAGAACATTGTCAGACGTCAAAGGTCAATTTGAAGTAATAGTCTAGGATTTTGAGACGACAAATGCAGCCGCAAGCATCAATAATTGGGGTGCATTTTGTGAAACGGGGATTCCAAAGTTCTATTTTTATTCGTTTTTCACAATCACTGTTAAAACTTAAAAGTTGGCAACTTTAAATAATGTTGCTGCTTTTAACTTTGACATTCAAGGGCCAATACGGCCCAAGGTTTTTCGTGAGATGCATGTATTTGTGCCTAGGAAGTCAAAAATTAATCAACAAAATATGATGCGGAGCAAGTATATGTTAAGGCCGAATTTGGATGCCCTTAACAATTTTAATGTTGGAAGACAAAATAGCCGTCTAAAAAAACAGCAAAAATAAAAATAATAATACTAATAAAAATAAAAATAAAAATAAAAATAAAACAATCCATCTGTCTATGCCATGCAATATAAACTTTATACATCAGTTGTTTCCTTAAAGACGTGAATGAGTGAACTAAAATTAAAACCCATATAATAAAAGGCTCAAGTCAGCTTTCTTGACTTCACTTCTTTCACCACCGCAGGAAGAATTTTTTTAGTTAAAGGTCCTGCCGGAAACCTTGTGGGACTTCTTTTCCCTCAATAGAGGGATATGAATGATTAATCAAAGCTCATTTCTTCTTTTGGTTCTTTGCTTGTTTGACATCCTTCGTAAGCATTCTAGGTGCAATGGCCATAGCCATGAGCTCTTGAAACAACAATTTGCACGCATAAGGTATGTGAACCTGAAAAGGGAAATCCAGAAAATCGCTTTATTTGCATCCCCACAACATGATGAGATATAGAAAGGGGGAATGACTGAATAAGAAATGAAACAAACACACCACAAACAAGTTTAGTTTATACCTGGACAATATCAGTCTTATTCTTGCACCCCCGGCACTCAAAAGAGCTCTTCTTGAGGTTAGCTATAGCAATCAACCCACAATGCTCACAAACGTGGACCCGATATGCATCACTCTGGTCAAACAATCTCTCCTTCAGAAAATGAGCCGCGCCATGCGCAATCATGCAATCACGTTCCATCTCCCCAAATCGGAGCCCACCATCACGAGACCGGCCCTCAGCTGGCTGCCTTGTGAGGATCTGAACTGGACCCCTACCCCGAGAATGAATCTTATCATCAACCATATGCTTTAGCCTCTGATAATATGTGGGCCCAATGAATATCATAGCCGTAAGACGTCTCCCTGTGTGACCATTATACATGGTCTCAAACCCACGCATCTGGTAACCACACTCGTGGAGAGTTTTGCTGATCTTGTCAACACTGACATCGGTGAAGGGAGTAGCGTCTCCTTCTTTCCCCATGTGGGCTGCCACTTTCCCCATGATACACTCTATCAGCTGACCGATGGTCATACGGGAAGGGATAGCGTGTGGATTGACGATAATGTCAGGAGTGATGCCTTCCGCAGTCCAGGGCATGTCTTCTTGGGTGTAGGTCATTCCGACCGTTCCTTTCTGACCGTGCCTACTGCTAAACTTGTCACCAATCTGAGGTATCCGGACTGATCTAACTCTCACCTTCACAAACCTTAACCCGTCGGCGTTTGTGGTCAGTAAAACCTGGTCAACCATACCGGTCTCACTGTGGCGTAAACTGGTACTGTGATCACGCTTTGTGTAACGAGCGGCTTGCCCCTGGGCGTCGTCCGGTGAGATTGGCGTAGTTTTTCCAATAATCACATCCTCGCCAGAGACTCGGGTTCCAGGTGGGGCCAAACCATCATCATCCAACTTATCATAGGAACCATGCCTCATCCCCATAGTGTTGGATCTGTCAGGGCGCCCGAAATCCTCTTTCACCAGTGTCCCCATCTTTTTCTCTTCATCTCGATAAGAGCGGAAGAATAAAGACCGGAAGAATCCACGGTCTATGGATGACTGGTTCATGATGACGGAATCTTCTTGGTTGTATCCTGAATAACAGGCAATGGCAACAATCGCATTGATGCCTGCAGGTAATTGCCTGAAGTGCAAGTGTTCCATCGCTTTAGTAATTACAAGTGGCTTTTGAGGATAATACAGCACATACGCCAATGTGTCCTGTCAAGATTTAACCACAAAAAATGCACAGATTTTATGAAGTTCATGTCTGGTGAAAAAAGTTTGCAATAATTTAAATACAAACAAATAAAAAAATAAAAAGTAATATCATACCATGCGAAATTGGTAATTGGTCACATAAATTCCCATTGCCTGCTTACCCATAGCTGACTGATAAGTGTTACGGGGAGACTGACAAGAATTAACGGTTCTTTAGATAGTGTACAAAAACATATATGCATATGACGAGGGGGGTGAGGGATACTAGTGAAATGTAGTACCTGGTTGTGGTCAGGAAATGGAATAATAGACGCACACACACCCAATATTAGTGAGGGGTGGATTTCACAATGTGTATATTGAGAGTAAGCGTCCCCTGGATTGTTTCTTGCTTGTACAAGATCCTAGATAGAAAAAAAGGATAGACTTGTCAGCATATTTAAATCTTAACAGGCATTCAACTTGCCTAATTGCCTTAGTAAACAAACATGAGAGTTGTTAGCTTCTTTTATTATGCATTAAAGAATAATATGTTTCTTAAGTGTGTTTTGGATGGGGGTAGAACTTTCTTTTAAAGATAAATTTGCTTTTAATTTATTGCTATTCAAAATAAAAGATACCACGTACAAAGAGATAAATTTGTAAAAACTCCACGCAAAACATTTATATATTCAGCATAAACCAAAGATGTGGACTTCTTTATCTTGAAAAAAATTAACCGCTTCCCCCCAATAGAATACACCCTTTCTATAACATACCCTAATTGTCATGCTTATCATAGTTGTTTCTTCCTCTTCAGTATCAATGTACTCGATATAGCCCTTTGCCACCAAATCGTGCCAACCACCATCTTCTGGACTTTCCTGGTAAATGAGGAGAGAAAAATGGACAAGTGAATAATTTCAAAGACATGACTATACGTTAAAAAAGGCCTACCAAATTTAGTGCTAGTGCAACCTAGGAAGAGCACTCGTAAATGAAAGTAATTTCTCTATCACTATTTTTCTATGCCCAGTCTGTCTCATTCATTCAGTAATGTTTGTTCTTGAGAAAATGTGCTCTGGAAGTCAATCCATATAAGAACTTCATATGTTTATACAAATATACACAGGAGGGGTATTTGAAAGACCTCTAATCATATTCAAAAACCTGTTTATGCACCCACTGAATATTAACAACTCAACAAGAGCACTTAAAGTTCATCATCCACACTAATGATTTGACTAGCCCTACTCCTAAATCTTCCAAAATGGTTTTGGCATGTATCACTAACAATAGAGCTTGGCCCAATGATATGCCTGTAAATAATGGCAGAAATACCCTTAATTGCAATGCTTGTATGTCTCTCTTCTTAATGAGAAGCCTTTGGTTCTCAACAATAAACAATGGACGACTGCATCGGCCATAGTCAGTGTAAATACGTAGTTCCATCAAACCAACATCTCGGACCACTCCCACCTCAGTATTTACATCAACCTGGAATGTGCCATACGAAATAACACAAGGACATCATTAGAGAGCATTAATAAGCTACAACAAAAAAAACAGGACTACAGAGGTTAAGATTTTCAGGTCACATGGAGGATATTTACTATTTAGAAGCAAACAACACAGCAAATCTACTAATAATCTAATCAAATATCAAAGGTATTCAATACAGCCATCGGATTTTGATTTAATTATTTACTCTAGTAGCCTTTTCAAAGGGAAGCCTTGGCGCACCAGTTAAGTTAAGGTGTTGTGTGACCGATAGGTCACGGGTTCAAGTCTTGGGGGCGGCCCCTTGTCATTGCTCCTAATACATTCTTGTGGTGAGACCCTCCCCCGGACCCTCGCCTTACGGGGATGCCTTCGTGAACCGGGCTTCCCTTTTTACTCTAGTAGGATTTTCACAGTTTTAAGAAGAAAATTGTAGCGGGTAGTGAACAGTAGATGAGAGAAGATAAGAAG